TTGTCTAAATAAATATTTTTAATTGTTTTTATAAAAAAAATTATTTTTTTAAAAAAATTGGGACCTAATTAACTACCATTAGTTCAATCTTTTGTAACAAACTATCATTTCCCAAAATATAATATAGTTTTAACTATTTCATGAATGGTAAGAAAAATATTTAAAGATGATTTGTATCATTGAAATAATAAAAAATTATCATTACTTTTCAATACTATACTAAAAAAACCAAGGGAGAATTTTAGTAAAAAGGACCAGTATATATAGAAGGTTTATTTTAAATCAGGGTCAAATGATTTTAAAATTACGTTACAATATGATCAAAAGATTAAATAGAAATTATATATTTTAAAGAAAAATGACTAAAATAACGTTCATTTATTTTTTTAAAAAATACACCAACAACGGTCGGTGTCGGAATTCCAGTAGCCCAAATAAATGCTTGCAGGTGATTCAAGGGGATTTAAACCATGACCCTTGATTTACCAAAAACTATATAACTGTCCACCAAGCTATAGATAATTCTTTATTTTTTTTGGCCAACTATTGATGATTCTTATTTATATCATAGTAATACAGAAAGTTATATAAATTAAACAAGTTTTCAAATCAAACTATAAGTGAAATAGTTATTTTAATAATATTTACTTGTTAATTCAGTAAATACATTTGTTAATAATATATTTTATATATTTAATATTGTTGACTTGTTACAACATGATGTGAACTTGTTAAAACCATATTTTTTATCATTTTAATAATAATTTTTTGTTAATTAAATCAGTAAAGGAACTTAATTGTTAACAATTCCTTTTACATACATACTTTAATATCATTAATTTGTCACAGCATGAAGTGGACGTGAACCATAACTTGCCATGTGAATAGTGCTACCTTGTTAATTTATTAAAGCAACACGTTAAATATTGCTAACATACATACTTGTTTTTTTTTTTTTTTGGAAGTATCGGTTGTGGATTTTGGAGAAATTTTATACCAATTAAGGAATTTAAGATTTTGATATTGCACTACACCCCCATGGGCCTTATTTGAAAATATTTTTTATGGGAAAAAACCTAATTATCCCTCCTAATGAAAAAACTGCATGGGTTGTTGTTAATTATAAATAGGTTATCAAAACTCAAATGGATATTATTTATTTATATAGAATTAACACTTGTCCAATTCAACATGTTGTATTACTTTTTCTAATTTATTTATTTTCAAATGGATTGCTAATTATGAATTTATGAAAGACTAATACTTATCCAATTCAATATGTCCTATCTATTTTGCTAATTAACTTATTCATTTTTGAATAAGTTGCTATTAATTAGGAATGGATTGTTGTCAAAACTCAAATATATTATTATTTTAAAATTCAGAGGTAATTAGATATTTTTTTCCATAAAAAACTTATTTTCAGATAGTTTCATGGGAGTGCAATGCAATATTAGAATTTTAAGGTTCTCAGCTAATATAAAAGTTCTCCAACCCGTCATCAGCTAATATTTTCCCTTTTTCTTTTTTCCAGCAGCATACATACTTGTTTCTAATAAAAAAGACATGTAGATTTTTATCCATTATTTATTTAATCTATTGTTATTAATATTAATAGTGTGTTAAAATGCACCTTTCTTAATTTGATTTGATAAAAATATATTAAGTATATAAAGCAAATTATGTTTTCTCCTAATAATTGTATCTAATATTTTAACCAATAAAATCATTGTAAAATATTAATTATAGTAAATCAAAGGCTAAAGTAATGTATCTTTAGTGCTCTAATTTTATATCAGATTTCAGTTTGATCTTTTAATTTTGTAAAGTATCTTTTCAATTCCCTAATCTTAACATCTTTTTTGTTAGCTTGAAATAATTATTTTTTGTGTTAATTATTGTTATTTTTTTAAATTAAATTTAACACATTAGCATATGAAAATGTTTTGTTAATATTTAAAAGTTCAATGAAGGAATTTCATGTTGTTGAGGATTAAAAGATTAAAAAGGCAACTTATAAAATTAAAGAATACAAAATAAAATCTTCTACAAAATTAAATAATTAAACGTATACACAGTAGCTATGTCCATGGCCTTCCCTGGGAATATGGACGGCAGGAGTAAATGACGTTGGCACATTAGAGAAGTATCTCAAAAGCTAAGTCAACGATGATATGGTTCAAGGCTGAAGAGTGTTGATAATCCCACGAAGAACTTAACCCATGCTGGCTATTTAACCACTTGGATCTCCTCTCCTGCGAAACCAAACACACAATTTTCAGTAACACAAAAATGACATTCTGATATTCATTTCTTCCTTTCTCTTCGTAGTAGACGCATCTGAATCTGATCCCTCCATGTCTTATTAGGTCACGTTTGATTATTAAAAAGAAATAAAATGAAATTGATTAAAAAATAAATATAAAAATGAGATAATCAAAAAGAATAGTGAACTACATTCATAAAAAAAGGAAGTAATTTAGTTAATAGGGTTGAGAATCATGATTCATGAAATTTTTTGAGGGTATAGTGATTTTTATATTAATAATATATATTAATGAGTTTTATTATGCTTAATATAAGAAAGAAAGATGATTTAATTTATTTTTCTGTTGATTTTTTTAATTCATTCTATTTCATTCATTTCTAATAATCAAATCTTACTTTAGGGTTTCGACAGTATTCCCAGTGTGAGCCCACACTCGCAACTTCAAGTAGGAGATGTCGTCGACGGCTTATCCACGCTAAAACGCTAACGTGTCTTAAGTTATATGTACAACTAAATTGTCTTCTAGCTGTACCCAGATGAAGACCAAAACAAAAGTCTGTGAAGAAAAGGGCAAAACAGTTAGAAAGAAGGACCAAATATGTGAAATCAAATTACATGGACATATCTGCAACAATTATTGTGTTTTCTTGCACGTGCAATAAATATTATTGTCTGTGGGTGCGTGTATTAATTGGACGAAGTTATTTGAGAAGGTCACGCGTCATTGTGCTATTTGCATGTCTTGTGCATGTTTAGTGTCTTGTGAGAACAAAAGATCGAGCTTATATTCAAATTTTAAAATTTCAACCCACAATTGTTATGCTGCCCACCTGACCGGCGGCTGTCCCTCATGAAAGCAAGGTTTTAAAAATTGAATTAATTATTGAATTAAATAAAATACTGATTTCAAGATCAACTTGGACTGTGGTTGAATCTATCATGACTAATTTAATATATTTTTAATTTTATATGCTAAATGTTATATTAAACGTGAAATTTTGTAAAATATCTCTAAACTTATTTAATATATTAAAAGCGCTCATTCATTATCAAGTACTTTTTGAAGGTTTTTAAAAGTTAAATTATCTATAATGAAGTTCAAAAAATAAAAATAAATAATTTAAAGTATAAAAATTAATTATATGCGCTTGTACTGAAAAAATAACTCAAGAAATAATTAAAAAAACTAAACAAAGATTATAGAAAAAATGGAAAATGGAGAAAACAAGTACTTTATTAAAAACCATAGGTTCTATATGGTATGTGGTAATGAAAGGTGGGGAATGAGATTGGGATTGAATTAGCCAACTAATACAACATTTGGTATGGCGGATTGGTTGTTACTTGAGATTGATGAAATTCATGTAGTTGGGATTGAAGAAACCCATGGGGGAGGCAGTACTAAAAATTTAATCTTGGATAAAAAATCTCTAGACCAAAATGCCCTTCGTTTTCATCAAGTCTTCATCAAGAACATGCTTCTATCTCCTTCCTCTTTGGTCACCTTCTCCTCCCTCTTTGATATGGTGCATGGTGGGTGGATGCTCATGGGAGGTGGCGAGCAACGGCATTATTCAATCTGGATGCTCAAACACACAACAGGATAATGTTCAGCGGCAAGCAACTACATTCTCCAACAGGGACATAACCATGTTGGGGAAAGAGGGGGCAATTGTCCCTGTAAAATTTGTAAAAATTACACTTACTTTTTTGTTTAAAATACACTTGCCCCCTCTTTAAAATTGCAAGTGCAGCCATAAAAAATCAATTGCTTCACATTTTCTTTAAAACTACCAAACATACATATTTAAAAATATTGTTTACCCTTTTATTTATAATAAAAATAAATTTATGATGTAAATAACATTAAGATATATTTTTAAACTTTTCATTTAATTTATTTATATATTACTTAAAATTATATTTTTTAAAAGCTATTAATATTTATATTTAATATAAATATTGCTCTCATTACTAAATTTTTCTAGATCGCTCACTGTTCTCCAATCTAGATGCTGGAACCCATGACACGACAACGTTTAGCAATGACCATTCGATCTATGTCCTCCATCGATGCCTTCCCATGCAAGATTAAATCAGGAAGAGGGTCTCTTCACTTTTTTTTCCTCCACTTCTCTCATCCCCACCATTCATTAATTTTATTATTTAAAAAATTATTTAATAAAATAATTTGAATGGTGAGGATGGGAGAAGTGGAGGAAAGTGGAGGGAAAGAAATGAAAAGGCCCCTCTTTCGATTAAACCACTTTATTTTCTCACTGTGAGGAGACAACAAATTCCTTCTACGCCTTCATTTGTCTTCTCCATTGCAAATCTGAAGCTAGCTAAGGGATGAAAGATATATATATATTTTTTTTCCGACAGAGGCTGCATCACAGATTTGAAACTAGCCGAGGGATGGAGGAGATTATTATTGTTATTTTTTTGCCCCCAAGAAGAGGCTCCATGGTAGATCCGAAGTTAAGGGAGGAAGAAGAATTTTTTTTTTTTGGCGGAATAGTTTCAAAAGAAGTAATGACGTTGGTACAGTAGAGAAATATCTCAAAAACTAAGTCAACGATGATATGGTCTCAAGTCAAGAGTGAAGAGCGTTGATAGTCCCACAAGGAACTTAACCCATGACGATACAGAAAAGAGTGCGTTCCCTGGCTATTTAACCACACTAGGATCTCTCCCACCAAACCAACACACAATTTTCGGAAACACAAAAATGACAAGAGATTTTATTATTCTGATAGTCATTTCGTCCCTTCTCTTTGTAGTAGATTCATCTGAATATCCCTCGTTGTCTGATAAGGGTTTCGGCAGTATTTCCAATATAAGCCCACACTCGCAACTTCAACTAGGAGATGTCATCGAGGGCTTATCCACGCTAAGACGCTATCTTCAATTCTCTGGCTACCATAAAGACACTTTGAATCCTGACTCCGATGAGTTCACGGAAGACCTCAAATCAGCCTTGCGAGTCTTTCAGCGGACTTACAATCTCGACGTCACTGGCCAGCCAGACAGCCGCACCGTTTCGCTGATCACGCAGCCGCGATGTGGCGTTCCTGATGTTATAAATGGCGACTCCATTGTGTCAGAGGACGACTCGGAGAAGATTATTGACTGGATGTCCCCTTTGAATAAGAATGATTTCACTTATGGTTTTTATCCTGCAAATAATGTGAAGCTATTATCCGAGGCTGCGTTCAAGGCTACGGTCGCTGACGCTTTCAGCTGGTGGGAGAAGGAGCTCGATGGGAAGACCTTCACAGAGACGCTGTGGTCCGATCAAAGTGATATTGGAATCGTGTTCTTGCCGTTGGACGGGAAGCTAGGGGTGGTAGGCACCACCGTGTCGGATTCGACGCCAAGTTGGGTCATCTACTTGGACTCCGATGAGAACTGGGTCGGCACCGATGTCATGACGGAGGCCGACCCACTGGACTTGGAGTGGGAGGTGAAGCACCAAATCGGGCACGTGCTGGGATACGGCCATGCGGTGAATTCGACGTCTGTTATGCACCCTTTCATCTACATCGGTGATGAGTCATCCACGACCACACCGTTGCTGCAGACGCATTTACACGGCGGAGCAGCAGGCGGCGTAGGGGCAGGAATGGGGACTGGTTTCAACTTTTTTGCTTGACATCGCATTGCTTTTCTGGTTTGGAGTCTGACTAAAGCCCGATTGTTGAATACCTGAACCCTGATTTGGGTTGCCGGACCAATTAATTTAGCTTGATTTCAGTCAAATGTGTTTACTTCTACGTCTATCAGTAGTATTGTTTGTAGCTTTTTCTTTTTCAGGTGAAATTTAGAGTCATATTTTATGCATACGTTGCTCCTTGCCATGTAGGTCGTTCAGTTATTAATGAAAATGCCCTTTATGTTTTCCCTCCCAATTGGCGATATAAAGAAATGAAGGGAAAAAAGGAATAAATACAAACGGCTTTGTTATCTGTTGGCTTATCTTGGAAGCAAAAGAAAAGAAGAAAAAATCTTTGACAATATTGATTCTGCCTGTCATCAAATTTATTCCAAAGCCAAGGCTATTATTGTATTGGGTTATAATAAGGCACGCCTCAATTTGAATCAAGTTAATAATAGAGATGTCATGAAGGAGGTGGGAAATCCTCATGAGAGATGCAAGAAGGTTGCGTTAATGTCCAAGTGGATGAGGCCTATTCTCATTTTAATAAAACTTTGAGGTGTGGGGGGCGTTATTAAAGACAATAACATCATGAAAATATACGTACTTTATCACTGTTTTCTCATAATGTATAATAGTTTCATATCTTTGAACTTTTATTGAGAGACATACTTATATCTAATGTCTCACCATATGTCAAACAAGATTGCTTTTAAAAGAAACACATGTATGTACAATAAAAAATAATAATTTGCTTAACTAATTAATGAATCAATGAGGACGAATCCCATTTAACATGATCAATCTCTAATTCATAATTGACTTCTTGCTTACCTTGCTTGCACGACAAATTATATAAACAACGCAAATTTTTAGATAAGAAGAGCACTGGTTAAAGCTTAAAGATGATCGAGGAGTAATACAACAAGTCATGACATGATCACATAACAAGTTTATTTTCTTGCCTTGTTTTTCTTACCTTGATAGCGCTGCATATTGTAATAATCTTAATGTTACAGTTCGACTTGCCACTCATAATCCACAGAAAACTTGGCCCAGCAGATTCAAGCACGAAGACGAGCTAAGATTAATAAGAAATGACTTGACAAAATAGAATTTAAAGTGTTGATTTGAGTGAGCTTGCATCGAACATAAATGTCAACAGTTTTCCTCGTGTTCTTCAAAACATAGAGCTGCAACATATGTAAAATCAACAATGGAAATATGAGTTACAGGTTGGACAGATGTGGGCTACCTGTTCATGGGCTCGCGCTGGGCTAACTCGCAAGAAAGCTGGGCTAGGAAAACCTTACTCAGCCCACAAAAAAAACAAATGAAGAAAGAAAAAGGAACAAATAAACAGCCTTAGATTAAATCCTTAACAAATGGAAAATACTTAAATACTCAATGAGACATTTTGGACAACGTGGAGTTGACTTAGAGAGATTTAAAATTAAAATTTATGTAGGAATTCACATCCAATTATTACATATTTGATTTAAGTTGCAATGTGCTTTAAAAAATCACAACCCCCATTAATATAACTCAGGAAATGTTAGGGGGGAAAGGTTAAACTTCCCAATGACCTATTTCAAAATGGGAATTTGAATTCACCACATTGACTTTGCTGGAAAATATAGGCTAGGCTGTTAATGTATGCCACAAAGGGCTGTATTCTGCTGTGCTGCAACAAATTAAAGCATAAGTCACCATCATGTGCTTGAACCGGGCAGGCCTGGAGAAAAGTTCATAATTATCTTCCTCCAATTTCCTTTTGAAGATATTTTATAAAAAAAAAAGAAACTGAAAATGGGACATGAAAGCACAAGCACAGGAAGCTATGATTTTAGCTTAGGGTTAAAAACTTAATTTACTCCTAAACTCTTTTTAGGTGTGTTAGACACCCAAAGGTGGGCCAATATTAGCCTAAATAATTTTTTAAGGAGGAAAAAAATATTTTAACTGTTAGTTGGTCCAAAAATTACATAAAATATCCTATAAAATTATAAAAAAGGACTCAAAAAATTTCATAAAATAACCTCACAACAAAATTAAAACTAATTAAGTTCCTTAAATTATACATATAAAATATGAAAAATATCATTTTAACTAACTATTTTGACCAACTACTGGCTGATTATCTAATCACCCAATGCTTGAAACAACAATAAGAAGTTAAAAAAATATTATATTTGGTTTAATAAAATCTTGCTAAAATATCTAAATATTTAATAACTTAAATTTAATTATTTATAAATATTCATATAAAATTTATAATCATCTTTTGAACATGGATTCAACTAGTTTTTCTAAAATTTATGGGTGACTTGAAAATTTAAATAATATGACAAATTATAAGTCTTTTCCAAAATTAATAAGTCCTCCTTTAAAAATTTGTATATTTTAAGATTTGATTTATAAATTGTGTGAAAATTTTTAAATAATAATAATTAAATTATAAAATATTAAGTTTGTAATATTTGTATAAGATATCATTTAAAAAATTAATATTTATAATTACTTATCCATGTTATTGCTGACAATAGAAATGTAATAATCACCTAGTAGTCAGTCAAAATAATTGATTAAAATAAATTTTAATCTTTCATATGAGTAAGAAATAATATTAATCTATTAGAATTTATTTTCAATTAATTAAAGGACTTAATCGATATTAATTTTCTTATAAAGATTCATTTCCGTAATTTTCTAGATCCTTTTATATAATTTTTTAAATCTTTCTCAGCCAATTAATAGTCAACTTAATAGATATTTAACAGAGGGCACTATTTCTCTTTAAAAAAAATTATTTAGGATCACTACTACGTGTATAACGCTTCTAAGAAAAAGTTTAAGGATGAATTATATCTTTATCTAGGGTTAAGTCTCATTTAATAATAGTTAAGTGTTTGATAAAATTTTGAAAAAATATACTTTCAGGTCCTTACATTTTCATTCAATTTCAAAATAGGTCCCTATAATTTATTTTTATTTATAATTTTATCTATTATATATGTTGACCCATAAAGGTTACAATTAATAAAAAATTATTAAATTTTACAAAACAAAAACACTCTTAGAATTTGCAGAAAATTTAATACTTTTAGTCAAAATAAAAAAAAAGAAAATTTGATTTAATCCAAAGTATATATTTTTATTATATTTTTTGTGAAAATTTTACATGTATAAAAATATTTAGAAAACAACCTAATTATATAAATTTTTAGTTTATAAAAATTATGTAATTAATTCTAAAGTCATATCATCATTTAATAAAAATATAAATTTTCTTAATTTTTTTAAAGAAAAAATGTAAGAATTTTAACTTTTAAGGATTAAAAAAATTTAATTAATTAAACTATACTTACTCAATTAAAACACAATAAACTCCAAGAACTTAATTCAAAATTAAGTAAAATTATAAGTACTTGCATATATTTTTTTTCCTAAAATTTTTACACCTTAAATATAAGCGAAAATGAAATAAGATGCCGGGGATACGCCAGGCAGCACATGCCTCACAAACTCGCAGATTTATGCATGCCAAGAAATCATGGTACGGTGGCAGTTTTTTTACACAAAAGGAAAAAAAAAAAACAAAAAGAAATCGGGGCAGTTCACACATTATTGTCTAATTATTAGTTTATCACTATCACTTCCCTGTGATCGTTGAACGCCACAGTAACATCTCCATCTCTCTCAGCTTCCTTCATTGGTTTGGAACGCCCGTGTTTGATTTAGGACCCTTTAAATTTTTGTTAGATATAATTAATTATGAAAAAAAATTAATTAACAGAATAAATTTTTATTATAATTAATTATGTTATAATGTAAAGGTGTTTGGATGATTTTAATCAAAATTAATTTTCAACGTGCAAATTACAAAAAAAACATGAATTTTAGGGTAAATATTCATAAATTTGCATATAATATTATATGAAAAAAATTAATTAATTGATCTCTCTACTTTTCACTTGGTTGCAACTCAATTTTTAAATTTTAGCTTGTTGTAACTCAATCCTTATATTATGAATTGGTTATAACAAATGATTAATTTCTTCATATTTTTAAATTTATTTTGATTTATTTAACAAAAAAATATAATAGTGATGTATTTAATATTTATTAAATTATTTAACACATGCATATAATAAATGTCAGAACTCTAACAAAATGAATACATGGGGTATATTTGAATGCAAAGAAGACGCCCAAAGCCAAGCAATGTCATAAATCATGAGCCACGAAATGTTGGATTTAGCCATTCTTGTTGGATCTGGGTCAAGCTCATTTTATGCTTGGGATCTATTTTTGGATGAACTAATAAAATTATGATTTTCAGGTCTAATTTATTCCTTTTGAAATTGCAGGGAACAGTTATCTCTCACCCCTCATGAACAGTAAGAAATAGGGGAGCGAGTGTCCATTCCAAGGGATCAAAAGAAACGAACAACTTCCCGTTGATTCATGATATAAAAATCATCAATTATCATATTTGTAATAAGCTTTTCAACAATATTTTTTAAATATAAATTATTACTATATTATTGAAAATTTTATCTTCCATCTTACTGGAAAGCTTTGTTTTTATAAATTTTATAGTTGACAAAACTTATTTAATGGTTGCCGTGGACACCAAGAGAGTTAGTTCAATAAGCTAATTTGTCAATCAAAAGATTAAAATTAGATTTTACAACCTTTACAAACTTTTGACATAATTCACTAACAACATTCAAGTTATGAAAATTAGGATCTTTGAACACATCAAGCTCATAATATTGTTATTTATATTCAAATCAAATCTTTTTTTAGTAAGACTTATTTGCTTAGCTTTATATACTTAATATATTTATATCTAATCAAATCACGACAAATGAATCTTAATATGCTAATAAATTAATAACAATAATTTATTGTAAAATAAATAATCTATAAAAGATCCACATGTTTTAATTCAAGTGAAAGCAAGTATTTTAAGTATATAAGCTTAGCATTAA